CTTCTGGTCCCTAGTGCCAAGATGACAGGTATAACAACCAAGTACTGTTTCCTCATGGCCTAAAGGGGAGGTAAGATTTCAACCTCAAATATTCCTTAAAGCTAAAAATGTGAAAAGTGGCTTTGTATTAGTCAGGACTGCCTAAAGGAACAAAATGGATAGAACACACACACATACACACACACTTTCTCTCTCTCTCTCTCTCAAGACAGAAAGGCCACACATCTTGTAGTTGTTCAGTCCATGAGACTGGATGTCTCTGCAGTCCAAACCCGGTGCTGGAGTCCTGGAGTATCCCTAGAGAGCTGATGGTAGTCAGCCTACACTGGAATCAGAAAATGTAGGTTCTAACACCAGTGAAGGAATGCTTCAGGAACAGCATAGATGACCTTGCCAGTGAGAGTGAGGGCAAGCAGTCTCCCTTCTACGTCCTGGCTACGCGAGTGCCACCAGAAGGTGTAGCCTAGAATTAATTGGGTCTTCTGACCTAGAGCATAATCAACTGCTTGGGTTTATAGTTTTCCCATATGTGGTCAAGTTGACAACCTTAGCCATCACAGTAAGCAAGCAGAGACGGGACTTGGAGGGAAACACAATTTCAGGGTAACAAAAACAAAGGGGTAACCTACAAGGGAAGAAACCCTTGTGTAACTTCCCCAGCAGCAGTGCACAGGAGTGTTGGTGGCCACTAATGGACAGAGCCCGCAGAATGTTGTTTAGCTGTATACATGCTAGGGAATAGTGGCTGGAACAAAGTATTGATGCAGAGGCTTTTACCTGTTTGTTAGGTAGATTTTTTTTTTTTTTTAAAAAAAGGATTTATTATGTATACAGTGTTTTTCTTGCATGTATACCTGCACACCACAAGAGGGCACCAGCTCTCATTCTAGATGGTTGTGAGCCAGCATGTGGTTGCTGGAAATTGAACCCAGGCTCTCTGGAAGAACAGTCTATGTTCTTCACCTCTGAGCCATCTCTCCAGTCTGTTAGGTAGATTTTTAAAAATTAATTAATTAATTAATGTGCATTGGTGTTTTGCCTGCATGTATGTTTGTGTGAGGGTGTTGGATGCCCTGGAACTGGAGTTGCAGACAGTTGTGAGCTGCTGTGTGGGTACTGGGAATTGAACCCTGGTCCTCTGGAAGAGCAGCCAGTGCTCTTAACTGCTGAGTCATCTCTTCAGTCCCAATTTGTTAGACAGACTAAAGCCCGCCCCCCCCCCCTCCCGCAGACTCTCAGGTTCCTCTGAGCCAAGGGTACAGAGACCTGTAGCTACTACAGCTACTACCGGATGCATTTTTAAAATACCACGTGTATGTGGTGGTCCAAAGAGGCCAA